GCTGAACCTTAATTATGTCTTGGAATCTAAATTTTATTTTTTTTAATTAAAAAATAGTAATTAAATAAAGTGAAGAATAGACAAACTGTTTTCATAAGCTGCTTTTCTAAGGTAGACATTTTTTTTCCCCTTATATAACAATAACCTACACTATGCTTTTTCTTCTGGCAAAATGTCCATTCACTCATCCCTTTGCTTTGATGGCAGTGAAGTGAAGCTATGCAATGAGATACACACTCTGACTGGAATGTCCTAACTAGTTCAGTAACATTAGCTTTACTTTCAATTTACTTCTTTATGGACTGGTTCAGTCAAAACTAAACTGTGTTATATTTAATTTCAGTTGGAAAAAAAGCCCAAACTTCTGGTCCCCTGGCACTTCCCCAGTTTGGATACATGATTTATTTCTGCCTGAAACAATTTGTTTAATCCTCTGCTGTTACAGTACGTGTTAGAATAAAGGTTAAAGATGAATTTGGCTCCTCTGAGGCTTCCATTATTGAAATGCACTCAAGCATGCGTTCATACTTGATGACATTAAAGGAAGTTTGACTTACATTCTGTTTTCCTACTATGTTATCAAATGGAAGTTCAGGGCTCCAGGATCCTTCGGTAAATGTTGCTCCACTGTTTCTCCTGTCGGAGGAGCTGACAGCCTCTTTCACAATATCTTCAGGCAAAGTCAACAGACTCTCTTCAGGTTGTTTAATTAAATAAGTCTCAATGTTATGTTTCCTCAAGAATTCATTACGCTCCTTGCCATGCCCTTCTTCAACTTTATAATCCCCGTTCAGGCAGTCCAGAGTAGCTTTGGAGATGTGAATTCTCCTGCATAAGTGAAATAAGTAGTAGCAAATACTGATTGTGCTCTAGTATACATAGGCAAGAAGGAGTTTATGAACTCTGGCATAATTTTTAACATGATGGATAAATAGAAGGTTCTCTATTGTATGTGATGATTTCTATAAAGCAAATTAAATAGTGTATTGAACAAACATGAGCTTCATTTGGGGAAAAATACTCTCAAGACACATTCACAGCAATAGGATCTCATGAATGCACAAAGTTCTGCCACAGGAAGAACACTTTGATATTCACACCTGATATCTTTGCTTACAGTAATAGTTGAATGCGAGACCTTCCTAAAAGACTATTCAGACTGGATGAAAATTGCTACTTCAAGTAAGTTTGGTGAGAGGAAAATATATGATATGCATCTGAGCATTTTATGTTTAATTATCTTCTGTTACCTGAGGTAGCGTAGCCAGTTGAAAATAGTGGTCTGATTGCAGCTGAAGTGAATTAGGAAAATAGGGAAACTATATAAAAAACAGTGAGGTGATAATTTCCAGTAAGATAAAGTGAAGAGTTCAAAAAGCTTTTGCAAAAGTGAAGTTGAATTTAAGACATGATGTAGGAAAATCTCAAACTTTGCAAAGCATGTTAGGACTTTGGATGTTTTCCAAACAAACCTGGAGGTGTTTGATATTTGGACTTTCTTAACCATAATTATGACTGCTTGAGAAGGGTAGGAAAAAGTTCAAGTAGAAAAAAAAACAGAAAAAGAGTAGGTCTTTCTTGTTTCTATTTCTAAGAAATCTTCAAAGTCCTACATGTAAGGTAAATATCAGATATCTCTAAAACACATCTACATGGTTAGCCATGTTATAATTTATAATGCAGCATCATAAATGCAGTAAGAGGAGATGCTCATTGGAAAATTATCTAACTCAAGTAAATAAATTTTTCAAACTTTGGATGCATGACACTTCCTGAAAGTCAGACTTGCTGACAAATTCCTAAAATTCTTTCTTCTGGGACTTAAAGGATGACATTGTGGAGTTAAATTGCATAAAATACTAATAGAATAAAAAGCTATAAGTACATGTATTATGGGTATGTATTGCTAGAAAATAAAGTGCTGGTTGTCTTTGAGCAGTGTGAAATGCCCAGAAGTATCAAAATTTGGCACAAACTGGGTCTATGTGGACTAATGACTATCAGTTCATAATTAAAAGATCAAAAAGTTGTATCTATTTCAGCCATTTTTAACCTGTCTCAGCTTCCCTCTCAAGTCAACACAGGTTTCATACAACTTCCACTGAAGTCACGCCACTGTGATGTCCACAGAGATTAGTACTCTGTTGTAGTCAAATGTCAGTAAAACAGACAATAAAAAATAGCAAAAATGTTTCACAAATATAAGCAACTTTTTGGCCATGGGCTTTAAAGCCAAAACATATGGCCTCTCAGAAAGAAAATGCATTTCCTAGCTTTAAGGAACCCAAATAGGCTAAATTGATTTAAGTAAAATACTAATAAAAGAAAAAAAAAAGAAAAAGAAGAAAGAAGAAGAAAGTGATACATTAGTTGCCAGGGTGACTATCTTTGTGCTGAGTTTCAACTAATATAATTTGGGAAGATTGCATTATAAAGCCCTGAAATATGGATTTTATAATGGAAATACTAACAGCTTTAACCAGAATGTGGCTGGCTATTGATGTAATACCCTTAAATGGACTAAATATTAATAAACTGTTGGTAGATTGAAAATATTTTTTGGTTCACCTTTTGTACTGCTTGCCTAAAAAAACCTTAAAATGTATAGTGGAGAGTCTTCTTTCTAATTTTAAGCAAATACAGTAGATCAGGAACCTGAGTACTGGAATCAAAAAGTATAGCTTGTCCAGCTGCTGAAACCTTATCAAACCCGAAGCCTTAGACGATACCTGTCATTGGTACAGCCTGAAAAATTAATTATTAGCTAGGTTTTACACTGATTCAATACCACGGATTAATACCTAGATACACCAGGAAAAGATTGTTAGAAGATGGGGTCCTGGAAAAAGAGTGTCCTTTGAAATAATACTGTAGGATCTTACGGTTTCCTTCTCGTGTTGTGGTTACAATTTTTTCCTCTCAGAAAACGAGAAATGATTGCTTTTTCTCAGTGCTCCTGAGGGCCTCCTTCCATGACAGTTGGGCTGCCCACTTATGCTCCCTCGCTCGGGGCCAATCTGTCCCTGCATCACCCATGCTTATGAGGTTTCTGGGTGATTTGCAACCCGCAAGGGGAAGAGCTGAGCCCCCTCTCTCCTTCCCCCAGCCCCTTCTCTCCATCCCAGGCAGGAGAGCTGCCTTCCTCCACTGTGGAAAGGGCTGTGGTTCATATTGTTTTTTCACACTGTGGGAGCAGGACCATTCCTAACCCCAGGGCAGCTTTTCCGATGAAACAAAGGAAAGCAGTGCAGCTCTGTGATTGGGAATGATCCCCGTATTGTGGCAAGCAAGGGGATTTGAATGGTGGTGGCAGGGAGAAGTAGGGAGAGGCTGAAGTGAATTTAACTGCTCTATTAAATCTGCTCTGCACACTAGGAAAGCCTGGTGTAAATCACAGTTTTGAGGGACTTAGTGAATTGCTGCCACATACAGGCTTTGTTTTGTTGGGAAAATGATATACAGCAGTGAAAATCACTCTGCTCCAATAGAGTGCAACCTAGCCAGGCATTTTATCAACAACAGCAAGGTGGTGCATTCTCCGGGTTATTCATTAATAGCAGTACTACTTGCACCCATTAACAGCAATAAACTAGACTTTTTACAGGTGTGGATGGTGAAACTTAGATGATTGATTTACTCATGTTAACAAAGTAGCATGTGACCTTTCTTAGTCATCTGGGGCTATTGTGGGATAAGCAGCAGGGAAATTTTTTTTTCTGCAATTTTATACACTGGTGACATATGCAGAGTATAGAAGTTGTTTTCAGATCATGCAATTCCTCATTTTCTGCTGATTCTAGGAATATATATTAATATAAAGGTCTACTATGGGGAATGGGGGAAGGGGAACACATTTGCAAATAAAATATAAAGCAAATATCTTCCTAACTTCCTGGGAACTTGACAGCTCTGACATATCCTGATGTGTGTGTAGGGAGCACAGCACATGGCTCAGATCTGATGGTGTAAAACCTCTCTCACTCAAGACGACAGCATCACTTAGACTTTTTCTGCATAAAGATGTCCACTGCTATTGCTTCTATGTTCCATGGCCAAAAATTGAATTGCTGTAGGGAATCTTTTGCTACATCTTTCATCAATGGAATGTGGAACTGAAAGTGAACAGAATATTACTGCGACCACTGCTATCGCTTCATATTTATTATTTGCACCTTCCAAATGACCATGAAATATAGGTCATGTGAGGCAGAAATAACATTTTATCTTCCAGGTGAATCAGCCACTTCAGACAAATTAAAACTAGGCAGCTCAATGGAAACCCATATATTTTCATATGCAGTCAAGCTGACATAAATATCTCAAAACATCTACTAAAGTATCAAATTATTTAAAAGACTTCATGGCGAGCCTGCTGTTCATAACGCCTTGTTATTAGTACTGGGTTATGAACACATATTTCTTCCCACACTTTGTGCATTATGAAATAAAATAAATTACAGCCTTATGCCTCACAGCAGCATTTGAATGCCAATGGCAAGAGAATGAAGCCTGGAAACACTCAGGAATGGTCAACACCTAACTGGGAAATTTGGGCTCCCTCTGAGTATTATATGGGCTGAATACCACCACTGACCTTTTTCAGAAAATCACAGCTGGCAAAGAACAAGAAATATTTTTGTCTTTTCCTATTCCTCTGCAAACTGACCATTTCTGCCTTTTTTGACTATAGCCTCACAAATTCTTGCCAACCACAAAATAACAGCAAAACAAAAAAAAGTCATAATTGATGATACAATGTAAGACAGTTAATCTGTTGGCAAGGTTAACAGTGTACTATGTTGGCAATGTTTTCTGACTGTGGGAAATACACGTTGCCTTACCCAGGAATTCCACCTGACTCAAGTTTGTTTGCGATATCCACGTCCCATGACCAGACATCAAACTGCCACTTTCGCAGGCCCAGCACTCCACACAGAACTGATCCCGAATGTATCCCTATTCTCATGTCAATGTCATGCTTCGTTCTTGACCTAACATATCTGTTAAATGAAACAAAATAAAAAAAAAAACAAAGAGAAAAGACCAGACCCATGAAAGTATTCACCATGGTTTTTCATATCTTTTAGAAAAAGGTATGATGTAAAATACAATGCCATTTGTTATAAAGAACCATATTGTCTGTAATATGAAGAGATAACTTTCTAGGTAGCAAAGTACAGGTAGTGATAAAATGATTCTAAAAGCCAGACTGTCATTAAGCACTTAATTGCACGCAAGGTTCAGTGGCACTCATTATTTTTATCAGACAGAAAGGTAGGGAGGGAAAAAGATGTTTGAGTGAAGTGTCTGGACACACTGAGTTCTTTAGCTTAGAATTATGAAAGAGTATTCAACAACAAACATTACAAAAACTATTATTGAACCTGAATATACTTTTATATTCTGTTGCACTTTTTTGAATAATTTTAAATACTTCAAAAATGTTACTTTATTAACAAAAAATTTTCAGAGCTACTTGTCCAAAGGTGAATTATTTTCAGTAGACTTGTCCAGAACACCATTTTCTGTTATGATAATGGTGTCATTCTGAAATAAGTCTCCTCCATTCTCTATGATGGAAAGACCATTTCACCTCCCAAAAGTAAACTCATGCAGGCATATTTGTTAACAGTCTCAGAAGAGAGACTTTGTCCCAACAGTATTTTCAATTCATATGTCTATTGATTAAAAAGGGAATTTTATTGTGTTAAAATAATATCTTCCTCTTATGATATGATACAACATACATCATTCACAGCCACAGGCACCTTAGCAGTGGTCTTATACCTGGGATTGCCTCTTCCAAATCAGTATTGAGACACTCCAGCACATCACTGTGGGAAGCTCACAACTAAAATAATTGAGGTGTATCCACTGATATGACAAAGAGAGCACTTTTCCAGTTCCTCCTGTGTGACAACAATTATTTGCACCAGAAATACTAATAGAGCTAGTGTTCATTAATATTTGAATAGCATACTCAGGTTAGAAAAGCACATTGCTACTGTTGGTCTACAAACAAAGCTGCTGTGTCTCTGAAAAAGTCATGGTTCTACTGTCTGTCGCTGAAGTCAATAGCAGCACAGCAAGATCGCACAACAGAGCAGGCAAAGAATAAACAGCTCTATTTCACACCTCTAAAGCTAACTACCATTGCCCCAGGTGCCTCAGTCATGACCTTGACAGACTCCAGAGGACAAAAGGGGAAATTGCTTACTGCATTCAATACTTGACCTTTCATTGTTGCAACAGGGGATGAAGTCAGTTTGTGAGAGGGGGAGGAGAAAAAAAAAAAAGTATAAAAATGCAAGGAATTTCCGGAAGAAATTCTTCACTGAGAAGGTGGTGAGGCACTGGAACAGGTTGCCCAGAGATGTTGTGGATGCCCCATCCCTGGATGTCTTCAAGGCCAGGCTGGATGAGGCTTTGAGCAACCTGGTCTAGTGGAAGGTGTCCCTGCCCATGGCAGGGGGGTTGGAACTAGATGATCTTTAAGGTCCCTTCCAACCCAAACCATTCTATGATTCTAAGGAATTGAAAATAAACAATTCATTTTTATTTCCCTTTCCTGCATATTCTGCAACTTTGGAGAAAACCATGAGTATGGTGTGTCCCAGTGCAGCTGTTTCCCTACTACAGATGTGTTCATCATATCAGGAAGCTAGCACATTTCATATCTCTAAAAAAAGATATTAATAAAATAATAAAGAATAAGCTTTGGGAAGGGTTTTTTTCTGTGTTCTGATACTCCAAGTTCATTGTTTTCATCTACAAATTTCTTTATTTGTTTGCAAGCAAAAAGTCTTGAAATATCAAAATCAAACAAACAATCACCTGTCTCTGGAAGACTGGACAGGAAACAACTCCTCCATACTCAAGTAGTGTCTTAAGTGTTGTGAGAACAACTAAGAGAAGTGAGAGCATGGTGATTTGTAATGTGTTTTGAAGAATTTTTATAGATATGCTACAAAAATATCTAAACTAACAGTCATAACCATCAGTGGAATTATGACATAACTCTTCACAATTGTTTCACCAGTCTGCCTTTTTCTTTTGTTCAGGCTAAGATAATTATTTCTCATTTTTGTCTGATTTCTTTATCTTGAAAGAAAAAGCTAATTGAATCAAGAGTAATTAAGTGAGCAAAAAGCTTTTCATTGAGAAAATGCGCACAATAAGAGTTTAAGTTTCATAAAATAGCCTAATAGTACATATTTATGTAATATCTCTCTCTACATATATACATATAGCAACACACGTTGCTAGACCAATTTAGATTTTAAGTACTATAATATTTAATTGCTAATAAATACTACTATTTAACATTCTACAAATACTAGAATTGAGTAATGATTAATGCGATGTAATTTCACAAGCCCAGATGCTGGATTCTGCACCTGGGACAGAGCAATCCTGGGAACAAGTACCAACTGGGAGAGGAGTGGCTGGAGGGCAGCCCTGCAGAAGGCTCGGGGGGAGCTGGTCGACAGCAGGCTCCATAGGAGCCAGCAGTGCCCTGGCAGCCAGGAGAACAAACCCTGTCCTGGGTGCGTCACACGCAGCATGACCAGTCGGTGAAAGAGGTGATCGTCCCGCTGTGTTCAGCGCTGGTGTGGCCTCACCTCGGGTGCTGTGTGCAGCTCTGGGCCCCACAATTTAAGAAGGATATTAAAGTCCTTGAATGCATCCAGGGGAAGGCAACAATGCCGGTGAAAGGGCTGAATGGATGTCTTATGAGAAGCAGCTGAGGACTTTGAGCTTGTCTGGTTTGTAGAAAAGGAGGTTGAGGGGTGACCTCCTGGCTCTCCACAGTTTGCTGAGGAGGGGAAGTGGAGAGGGAGGTGCTGATCTCTTCTCCCTGGTATCCAGTGACAGGTCATGTGAGAATGGTTCAAAGCTCTGTCGGAGGAGGTTTAGACTGGACATTAGGAAGCATTTCTTTACCGAGAGGGTGGTCAAAAAATGAAACGGGCATCCTAGAGAGGCGGTCAATGCCCCAAGCCTGTCAGTGTTTAAGAAGCATCTGGACAATGCCCTTAACAACATCCTTTAACTTTTGGTCAGCCCTGAAGTGGTCAGGCAGTTGGACTAAGATGATCATTGGAGGTCCCACTTAACTACTGCTATTATCTTCTGTTCTGTTCTATTAATTTTAAATATTGTAAAATACAGTCTTTTATCTGTATCCTATATGGGAACTAACACACATGGATCTCATTGGAGAGACCAGGTACAAACGATGGTGCAACCAAGCTATACATCCTTCTGTTTCCAGAGCATTCATTATGGGTTGCTGGATTTTAACTTTTCCTTTGTCTCAAAAATGTGGCAATAGTCTGAAAAGGCTTCAGCATCCTCCATCAGCCACATAGGACATTTGCATTTGGTTGAAACTTCTTATAGTTGTACTGTCGTGTTGCCTCCTGCATGACAGTGCAGACCCTAATCAAGGTCCTATTCCCCTTGCCCCATCTGTTGTCTTTTACAGCCTCCCAGTAACTTATTCCTGTGTGCTGCTCTTCTCCAGTGATATTTAACCTCAGCTTTTCATCATCAGTCAGTGTGTATTTTGCTACCTGCCTGCATGGTTTGGCTGAGGGCTGTTCTGGTTTCCTGTCTGCTGTGGTGCAAGTGCACCTGCAGGGCCCCCATCTTCACATCCTTCGCCTTATTCACCCTTGGCAGCAATGTGCTCTTATGTTGATAGGTAGGAAACTAATTGCATGAAGGGTCCTGACTGAATTGAGCCACAGGCAGTCTAAAATGCATTTAAACAGGCCTTTCCAGAACATGAATCAAAGCACAACCACAATCTGGTCCTGCTCCCATTCCTTTATTATTTGCAACACAGGACTGAAAGCAGAGCTGTTGAGAACCTGTTTGTAGAGACATGTTTTCACTAAACTTTTATTGTTTTAAATTGAATAAAGAATAAATGCTCATAGCTGCAAAGTGAAGCAATTGAAGCCATGGAATGATTATTTTTCTTTAAAATTCGGAATTATATGAGGCGAAACAGATTTCTGAATTATGCAGAGAAGGAGACCACCATGGTCAAATCCATCTCTTTAGTAGCCAGGCTGCCACATACTTCAAGAGGTCTTGTTTATATACTGCTATGCAAAAAAAGCAATTAAAAACTTTGAAACAATGGACCCTGGATCATCTTCATCAACAGAGATAGTTCTCATCTATTCAGAAAAAAACCTTCTCATAAATAATAACATGTACTAGATAATGAAAAAATGAAGAGTATTCATTCTACATAAACTCAGGTGTTCCACATTTTTTAGTTCTTCTGTCTCTTAAATTTATTTAACTATCAATGATGCTTCAATTAATCTGCTTAATCTGCTTCAACTGTTTTACAATCTTTCTGCAAATACTTCAACAAAGCGCATGCATGATTCTACATTATTGTTGATCTATAAGGCAGCCCTGTTTACCTCACAAGCTGTCTGATACCTTATCCAGAATGAGGCAACTGTAACTGATGCTATTCATGCCATATCTCATTTCAGCCAAGTCAGTGATTAATATTTCATTGCTTTTAATTTGATCTTGGCGTTTCCTTTTGGCCATCATTCTTCATGGGTATATACTAATCAGAGGCTTTCCTATTTGCATGTAGAAGGTGAGCCAAAAGTCAGAAATCTGTTTTCAACCTTTTCTGTAGCTGCCAGAAACCTGAATGTCCTGGAATTCAAGCCTTGGAGGTTCAGACAGTGATATGCTGGCTACATCTGTGCTGTCCAGTTTAACTGTACAAGGCTCTGTCTATGCTCTGAGATTCTTAAAACAGCCCCAGAAGGTTTTTTTTGCCTGGCCAAGTAGCACTCTCACAAACTGTTCCCAGGTTCAGGAGCTTGTGTGTGACGAAGACCAGTTCTAATACGCTGTGTGAATGCAACTACCTGGTTTTGAAGGCAACGAGTACTGGGAAGAATGGAGTTGACCAGCCTCTGTCACTTTTCTTGGTGACAGCTGACATTTCCTCAGG